AGAGAGAATGAAAAATAAGGTGAAAAATTGGACGGAGAAAGATAGTATTAACCGAGAATGTTTGAGAAAAGTAACAAATAAGGGGCACAAGAAAATTGAAAGTATAGCGGGTATGATTTGGCTGTGTTTAATTCTTCGTCCATTTATACTTATGGTAGTAATTACATATATATCTTTATGACACTTCTAACAACAACAAATAATTATTTTTCTACTTGTATTTTGTAATATTTGAACCTATAATTCTTTCTATATTTATTTTCTATCAAATAAATGTTATTTTTGTGCCATATCCGTTCTTATACTCGATAAAATCTCAAAAATATTAGGCCCAACACTGCCCACTTATATATCGTGTCGTGCCCGTGCTCGTGTCTGTGCCCATGAAGTTTAGGCCCGGCACTGCCCATAAATTATTCGTGCTCGTGCCGGAATGGCCCATTTATTTCGTGCCCGTGCTTGTGTCATGTTATAACCGTGTCGTGCCGTGCTAGCCCGTGGGCGGCCCGGCCCGATGCCCATGTACACGTCGGCATGATATGAAATCCAAAGATCGGTTTTTTAGTAAAGCAGGAAATACATCGTAAAATATTCAATATGATTCCACAAGATCTAGTTTCATTCAAGGAAAGAATGGATGCCAATTGAAGGGAGTCTTTCAGGGGTGAAACTCCAAGTCATTTCCTCCTTCCTAGCAATAATAAGTATTTTTTTAGGGGAGCGGAGCAGTAAAAGAAGGAAGCAATTAATATTAAATATTTCTCGGATAGGAGGCAATTGATAGCGTCTATAGTAGCGGTCCATTCGAGTAAAAAAGTTCCAGGCGAGCCGAAGCAGTCCCAGATCCTGAACCCCCTAGGCTTGCTATCTGACTGACGAGGATTTCCGTCTCTCACGAATTGGATTTGAACCAATATCAAGGTACTTTCCTTTTAGTATATCGTGAGTGGGTCTTTTGTCATCCTCATTATGTTCGGAATTTCTTACTTTCCGTGGAGGATTAGATCCAGTAACTGGGGGTCTATGGCTAACTCATATTGCACACAATCATTTAGCTAATCACTACGGGAAAATTGACTTCTTGCAACACTCGGATTGCAACATTATTTAATAGTGTTGCACTAAATATTTAATGGCAACACTTTTTTCTAGTGTTGCGTATTAGGTGTTTTACGCAACGCAAATTAATTATCTGCCAAAATGTGTTGCATTTGTCTACTATACGCAACGCTTATACAATAAATGGTTGTTATGTTGCTTATTTGTATATTTGAAGCAACATTTTAAGAAATTAGGTTGCAAAATGTTGAATTTTGAATTTTGATGGATAGCTTTATTGCTTCAATTTATTTTGTATGTCATGTTTCGATATTTCTTTATTATGTTAAATGTGTCTTTTTCTAATCAAGGTATTGTCCGCTTTGAAGCAAGCATGGTTTTGCTTTTGTGGTGCATTATGATTACTTTCCATGAGATCAATCTATGTAATGCTCCACTTTAAGCTCTTTTAACTTCAGAGTTATAAGAACTACTCCTCTATGTCACCCCAAAGCGATTATTGTCGGTAAATATTGAACTATTTCTAGTAATCCATGAATCTCTCTAATACTTTACTGATATAAGAAAGTAACCAAAGAAAACGAAAGGTAGAACTTTCCTCCACCAACCAGAAAAAGATTAACAATGGCTATGAAATCAGTGCTCCACTTTTATATGTCTCGTCGTTTATCAAATTAATGATTAAGCTTTTAAGAAGATATGATTTCTTGCTACTATGGTCCTTGATTGAATTTCAGAAAGTGCATGACATTCTGGGTTATATGAGGTTGATTGGACTATTATAGAGGTCGACCGGAATAGATAATAGCTCAAGATTTTTGTTCTTGTACAAGGTCGGCCGTAAAACCAATCATTTTAATCTACCAAAAGGATGATTTGTTAAGTTTGAGGGTCAAGCGTTCTTCTACCTCTTATTTGGAAAGGTCGACCTCGTCTTGATATGGTCGATACTTTGTTGGAAAGGTCAACCTTTTCTTGATATGGTCGACCACTTTGCTGGATTCTACTTATGAGTCTCTTACGCGTGGTCGACTGGTCCATGTACCTCATTCTTCCTTATGAATGACCACGTTGGTGTAATCGGTTGACCGTAAATATTTACTGGTCGAATATTTTGTCTAATTCATTGTGATTGTAAGTCGCCATAGGCATACCCTAATACTTAATAGACATCCAATAAAAAACAAAAGTTTAATAGACTTTTGGTTTCAAATTGGCACCATGCAGTTATCCTTGTGATAGTGGTTTTTGGGAGGAGGGGCTCAAAGTGATTTTTAGTTTTACTTTCTAGATTTAAAATATTGTTTTAAAGAAAATTTGTAAGGAGATTACCTTTAATTAATTTTTTTTTTTTGCATCGAATAATTAAGTACATCAATCAAATATGTATTAGACACATTTTTTGGAGTATTTTGGTATCTGAACTGATATATTTTTGGTGAATGCACCAATTTTGAATATCTATATTGTTGGTTAAAAAATTCATGAACTAGATGTCACAAGTATATTGAGATAGAATTGAAGACCCGCTTTAAAAGAAAAACTCTCTCTTGATCTGGTCTAGGTCTCCGTCGCGATGGCGGCTTCGCCTTCGTCGACTCCTTTGCCCGCTGATGGCAGAGGCTCCGACATGGTCTCCACTGTTTGTAGTTGCGCCAGAGAATGGTTTTCGTTTCAATCCTCTGGAGCGTTTTAAGGATGATTTTTGTTTTCCAAGGAAATTCGGGGAAAAGGTGGAGTTTTGTTTCCTTCAGAATACCTTCAATATTAAGGATAAGTATTGTTTCATTCAGAATACCTGCAATATTCATACAAATCACTCCTACCTTTGTCAATACCTTGTCTACAATCCCCAATTTACCCACCACCATTTGACATCCACAAATAGGGTTTAGAAAACCATGAGCTCGTGTTAAGGTTGTCCCAAACTCCATTGCTAGTGCTTCAGCTGTCTCCGACTCCCAATTCCCAGTCACCTTCTTTGCTACGTCCATAATAAATATGCCATCACTATCTCTCGCCACTACTCCTCATGCGGTCTCTGCCTTCGACTTGTACTTGTATGTACCGGTCCATTCCTCTCTATCTCCTCTCCTTATATGAAACATAATCTTCCAAGAAGTATTATGCCCGCGGTAAAATATCTGCCTTAGGGAGCTTAATACCACTAAAGAGTTGAGCATTGCGTTCTTAATTTCCAGATAAACCACGACAATGCTATCCATTGTCCCATGATCTCTTCCCCCATCTTTCCTGAGTTGTCGCTAACCAATCCCCACTGCTTCCTGCTGGTCGGAGCTCAAAACATTCGACCACCATAGACTGCCACTAAATTCGTGTAACTCAATCACATTCGCCAAAGATATGGACTTGGCTTTCCGAGAGATTACTAATGGGCAGCACCTGCTACGTGAAGGGATGCGAAAACTCACGTTATCATTAGTAAGAAGCGCGCCCCTCGCAAAATAAATCTTGTTAGATGCCATTTTAGATATAGTTGCCACTTCAGAGCCTATGATTGCTTTAATGTGTGAATATTGGTAGTGATCCTTTGGAAAATAAATTTTCATATAAAACTAGCTTAGTGAAATTGTACAACATATGTTGTATTTTCGAAATCGATCTCATTTTGCACATCCATAATTGTCTTCCCTTTGGAATTCCACAGGCCCAAACTGAAAAATCGAAATATTAAAAAGAAAATTCATAGTCTACTGAAGTCCGTAATCACTCATTAACCTAACCCAACTCGAATTTGCATCGAAGTGGACGATAAGTGAGTAAGATGCAGCCACTTTATCATAACGTTTAGCCAGAACTGATCATCTTCTACTCAACATCCAAAGAAGCCACACTCATAGGCGGAGCCAGCCGATATTGACCTTGTCCTCCCAGGACGGGGTTAATATTTGGTTGGTAAAAAATAACCCACATATATGTGTACCCAACACCTACAAATAATATAAGGATATTTTGCCATTACATCACAGCTCATTACTTGTTTAATAATTGATAAAAATAATTAATTAATTTGTTTCGTTCATAATAATTATTCAACAATAGCTTGTTGGGTTTTATCATGAATCATGATGTTATGAGATTTCATTAATTAAAAGAAATTGATGAATTATCTCGAATAATGATGGAGACAAAAGTACGTAAGTCATATCCGCTAGTTTATTTGCTTCTGTAACTAGTTTTGATTCTACCAGTTGCAACTGTAAGTGTAGAAATAACATTTTTAGCTAGAACTATACTAATATCAAGTTTCGAAGTCGAACGATCAATTTGCTAATGATTTTTTAATAAGATACATTGAAAGAAGCTTACTTAAGAGAATATGAAAATTCTTCATGGTTATGTATGCAAACATCAATTGTATTAATTGGTTATTTCTTCCTCTATAAATGAATTATTTGAATATTATTGATTTTAATTATATTTTGAAAAAACAACAAAGATAGTTTCAAATCCGACCTCAGCCACTTGCTCACTGCCGCACTATATCGTTATTCACTTCGCACCATCAGATCGAGAAACCCTCTGAATGATCAACCTCTATTGGTACTTGATACCGCAATTTAGCTTAGACCCATTTATACCCCTGTTCGTCCTCCATGGCTAATCTGCATCCCTACGGAAAACCGAATACGCCCTGCCTGAATCATCCTCCGGTATAACAGAAGCAAAACGTTGCAGAGACCCAAAACTACGTGGCCAACACCACATCAGTATGTGTAAGCTGCAACAGAAGCTATCTATCTATACACAGACAAATCTCCATGCAGAAACTATCCAAAACCCCCCGCCACGTCCCGAAACCGAAACCCCCCTTCTCCTCCTTTCCGCACTGCTTTCCACTTCCCATCCCATCTATAAATACCCACCGCAATCCCCACTCCAATTTCATCCCATCGCACTACCAACACTTCTCAGCAAAGATGGCGTCCTCCGCTTCTCTGCTCTCCCTGGCGCTCTGCTCCCTCCTTCTCTTCCAAGTTTGCTCTGCCCAATTCGAAACCGGCCGAGTCTGGGGGTCATCAAGGTCCCAGAGGAAATCACAGCAGCAGAACGAGTGCCAGTTCCGCCGCATCAATGCCCAGGAGCCCGACCGCAGGATCACATCGGAGGCCGGCATCACCGAGATCTGGGACGAGAACGACGACCAGTTCCGGTGCGCCGGCGTCGCCGCGATCCGCCACACCATCGAGCAGCGAGGTCTCCTCCTTCCCGCTTACTCCAATGCCCCCAAGCTCATCTACGTTGACCAAGGCAAAACCCCAATTTCCTCTCTTCCTCTGTTTTTTAATGACTCTGTTTTTCATTTACTTGCTCTGTTTTTTTATGGACTCTGTTTTTCATTTACTTGCTCTGTTTTTCAAATGTGGACTGCAGGGAGAGGGTATCACAGCGCAGCGATTCCGGGCTGCCCCGAGACTTACCAATCCGAGCAGGAGTCTGAATCAAGGGATCCGAGGCAAGGATCGAGAGATCAACATCAGAAGATCCGGAAGATCCGACAAGGCGATATAATTGCCATCCCAGCTGGAGTCGCGGACTGGTTCTACAACGACGGTCAGTCTCCTCTGGTTCTAGTCCAGATTATGGACACCAGCAACTTCGCCAACCAGCTCGACCAGAACTTCAGGGTAATTCATTCGTTGATTCGATTAAAATTTCAATTTCATTCCGCCAATTGATTCATCATTAGTCACTGACGATTTGATTTTTCTTTCAATTGGGTGGGTTTTTCAGAAATTCTTCCTGGCAGGGAACCCACAGAGAGAAATCCAAGGGCAGAGGGGACAGCCTTCGAGGCACCTGTACCGTGGAAGCGAGAAGGGAAGAGGCGGCGGCGGCGGCCAAGAGCAACGGTCCGGCAACATCTTCCAGGCCTTCGACGAGCAGTTCTTGGCGGAGGCGTTCAACATCGACACCGACCTGGCGAGGAGGATCAAGAACGAGAACGACAACAGGGGAATCATCGTCAGGGTGGAGGAGCAGCTGGAATTCCTGAGCCCCGAATTCAGCGAGGAAGAGAGGAGGCAATCGTCCCAGGGCGGCGGAAGAACCGGCCGCTGGTCTGCTAACGGAATTGAGGAAACCTTCTGTACCGCCAAGTTGAGGCACAACATCAACGACCCTTCACGCGCCGACATATTCAACCCACGCGCCGGCCGGCTCACCACCGTCAACAGCTTCAACCTCCCCATCCTCCGATACATTCAGCTCAGCGCCCAAAAGGGCTTCCTCTACAGGGTAATTAATCCGTTACTAGTCAATCATCTTCCTTCCTTCCTCTCTTTCTTTTCAAGTTGGTGATTGATTCAAATGTTGGTGCTGCAGAACGCGATCATGACGCCGCACTGGAACATGAACGCGCACAGCATCAACTACCTCACCAGGGGCAGCGGGCAGATCCAGATCGTGAACGAGAACGGGGAGAGCGTGTTCGACGGGCAGGTGCAGGAAGGGCAGATCATCACCGCGCCGCAGAACTTCGCGGTGATCAAGAGGGCCGGCAGCGACGGGCTCGAGTGGATCTCCTTCAAGACCAATGACAACGCCAAGATTAACCAGATCGCCGGCAGAGCGTCGACGATCCGGGCGATTCCCCAGGATGTGCTCGCGAATGCGTTCGCGATTTCGAGGGAAGAAGCGCAGAGGATCAAGTTTAACAGGCGGGAGATTGGGATCTTCAGCCCTGAGACCAGGTCGCGTGGAAGGAGGGACTGATTTTGTGTCTGCTTATGTAATCGTAAATGACAAATAAGATAAGTAATCCATCAGTAGTGTACTAATAATAATAAACCTACGAACTTTACGGTTGGGTCGTCAGGGAGAGGCAGGTTGGTTAGTACTTCCTTTCCGCCTCTTTGTATTTTCGCGGGAAACAAACAGCTTTGGTCATGACTCATGAGTTTAAATAAATAAAAATTATGCTTCTATCTAGAACTCTCCTTTTTTTTCGATAACTAATTAGTCAATTCTCTTATTAAGCTCACTTGTAAAGCATGCATAAGAAAACTACCAATTAGTCATGAATGTGAATAATTTCTTTCTCTATAAGGGTGACAAGGTATGTGGCCTGATCTTATGAATGAATGAATTAATGAATGATAAAAAAAATTTCTCTATAAAAGCAAAGCACATTGGCTACATATATGATACTAGCTTTTACCCGACCCGTTGGTTGGATCAATTTCATTCTATTTCGTATAATTTATTTTATTAATATTTATGATTTACTTGATTTGGGATCTTTAATTTTATATGATTCCCGAAAAATATTTGTGGTTTTAAGAGTTGACAATGACGTAAAAGGATAGTCCAAGCTATTATATTGACCAAAATCTCAAATATTTGAAGTATTTATTTGGAATTTTATTAAATAAAACACTTGTTGATTCAAATATACAATCGTCTCTCGTGAAAGTGGGATTTTATGAAAAAAAGATTCATGACTTCATAAAGAAAGAAAACCAATTTGATATTCAATAACAAATGTGAACATCGTTTGGAGCATATATTTCAGTTATGTATTTGGTATCTAAATTCAACACATGCGAGATTTGTCTAACTCCTAAATTTGGAAGTAGGTGCTAAAAATCTATTCAAATCAAAGGTCAAGGATGAAAAGTTTTGCTATCGAATTTGAAATTTGTTGGTCCCCATTAATTTGGAATAAGTGACATCCATAAATTAGATTTGTAAATCGAGCATTCAAAGATACCGATGGGAAAGACATAAAAGTAAAGAAAACAGTAAAACCATCCAAACAACAAACCTGTGAGGAATTATCATGGTGCCATATTAGCCAACATACAATACATTATTAGTAGTTGATTATCAACATGCCATCTTCAAGATTCTCTGGCAATCTCATGGTTTATTGATTAAAACACGATTTCCAATATGAGAAATTTGTATGTGATCTGGTCACAATTATCTTTTCGCCTATGTTGGTCCTTGCAATTAACAACCCATAACGAAATGAGCTAGCATGTGGCATAGTTATAAGGTATATGCACAAAAGTGAGTTATTAAATGTCCAACGAATCAGGAAGTAAACATTAATAACCCACTTAGCAATCATCCATATCAGCACAGAACATAGTCATCGAAGTAGCTGTTGTTTTAAGAATATGTTATCACCAACATAAACAATGTCGTGTGAAAATGAGGATGCATGGTAAGCTATTTTCGTACTATTATCTGATGTTGCATTGAAAACAAATTGCCTTGTCCCCATCCATCTTGTAATGAAATCCTAGCCCGAGTCATCTACTAAAACAACGACTTTCACCATCAACAACAACTACATGAAGAAAAGAAAGGGGGCTTCAAGTAATTAATACATGCTAGCATTAGGAATGTTAAAACTTTCACTAATTGTTCTTGCTTCTAATTTTAAAAAATATAGCAGCATTACCAAAGAATGCATTAGCAAAATATGACGGGGAACTAATCAAGAGCACACACAACAATTCATGATCTCAAAACGACAACTTAACCAAGAACCCCACCCACCGAAGACGAATTGCAAAATATTTTAACACATACATATATGCAAAGAGATTATCCTCTAATTGGTTCATTTTATAGTTATTATTTCCTTCCCTTCATTTATGTCATTATCTAGATGATTTCATATTTTCATTATTTGGGTACTTTTTAATTCTCAAATACTGATTCAATTCAAAGAGCACTTTAGCTAATGCACTACATTTATAGCCTTAGCACCCTTTACTTATTGGGAACTCCGTTTAGATAATATCACACAATAAGTACTTGCTATCAAAACTATGCACGTGGCTTAATAAACCCCTCGATGCAACCCCTTAACTTACGTGACTAAAGAAGCAACAAATGACGGTCATATTTCTTAATCCCAGAAGACATTCGCTACCCACATATTAGATGTCTACCGTAGATAAATGAAATTTACTCCGTAGTGTCCGCAATTTGATGGTATTCAACCTTAAACAAAAAGTGATAGCGAAAGCAGTGGCTGTACTATTTTTTAGACATCAGATGCAACAACTCCTTCCCCTCCTTTTGAGGACCATCACAACATAGTTCTATGTTCCTACAACTTCCACACCTATACAAAAACTTCAGACCCATGACAATAAAGATCTGTAGGAATTTTTGCCTCCAAACAACATGTAACTTTAGACATACCAGAACATAATTTTGTGTTAAAAGAGTTTAAATATCATTTGACTCAAAGGCTAAATGAAATTTGCAAGTGAATGCCTCCAAAAGGAACTTGATAATGAATTTAAGAACGAACTAACAAAACAACCAGCAACAACCTTGAACCAATTAATTACCCCAATCCAGGAGTTGAAACACTTACCTAGCCTCAAAGGGTGATGTAATGGAAATACTGTAGCTCTGGTTTCCCTTGTTGATTCTTGCAATAGGGGCAAAAGGTGGGATTATACAATCAGTTGATAGAAGAAGATGATTTGGAAACTATAGTCTGCCATCAAAGACAAATTATCAAGCATTTCAGTGTTCTTTTTCTTAACTTTTTGGGATCAACATTTTAGAAATACTAAATGTGTTGTGTAAGAACTTACAGAAGAAGCAGCAGCTGAAAAGAACATAGGCTAGAATCACACAAAAACCTTGGGTTAAGGCATCTATGAACATTGACTCAATCAATAATGCTCAGTATCTCAAAATCATTAACCCCAATTGAAAGCTCGCTACTGATTCCTTCAGGCCAACTCGAATCAAAACAGTCTCATCCTAATGGAATGGATTAGAACACACTACCATAAAAACAAAATATCTAAGAATTAACTATTCGATGCTGATAAGATTCTAACTACAAAAAAAAACAGGGAACTTAATACCAAATGAATAACCAATAAGTGATACCGAATTTTCTTTGTGCAGAGATATCCAAATCCCTTTCACTCGGTATGCAATTAACCAGTCTTCATGTCTTATTGCTTCAAGCAATTTTTCTGCAGCCAAATTGGTCAGATAATTGGTCATATACAGAGAAACATCATCTCCTTCCCTTAACAACATCTATAGATTATAGTTTAACATATATAGGCAAAATCCAATCTTTACTTTAAAAAATAATAGATGCAGCAGCAATCCGATATCATCAAGATAGCTAATATGATTTAGGATGATTTTCATGAGCCTGGGTGGCTGGGTCAGTCAAGGATCAAAGCATGACCACAACAAAGTAAGGAATTGAAAAGTTTGCTATCTGATTATATCGTCATATAAAAAAGAAGGTCCCGAACACTAACAAATTCAAAAGGGCACATCCAAGAGTACAAAGTTAATAGATTGCCACATGCTAAATCCAGAAATTCATTGCAAGTCAATTTCATGCAAGTTTTACATCACAGCTTAAAAAGTATAGCGTCGAAGAAGATAAAACAATCGGATTAAATATATGACCCAACTGTATTAATTAAGATCTCAAGTGCAATACATGTATTTTTTACATAGACGTTCTATATAAATCCTACTGCAAGTATTTGTCTTCGCTTGATTCTACCCTACTACAAAATTCTGAATAAAAGTGCAGAACACAAAACATCTTACTGAAGCACATTTATCTAAAGGACAAACTGGTAAATTGAAGGGACACAATTCCTATGTTGTACAACCTGCCATGATATGTAAGATGATAAGTGGAGGTTTGAAGCGACAACAAACAGAGAAGCAGCAAAAATAAAGAATCTATGCAAAAATTACAGATTTCTTAATTAGTATCAACACTTTATAATCACTGAAACTGCTATATCAATACATACATAATAAGAAGCTGAAAAACAACGAAGGTAGGAATCAGAATACTACCTTTGGTTACGAAATCCATGGGCATTGGCTAAACCAAACACCCTCGTGCATCTCAAATTCATGAACATATACTTTTTTCTCTATACTTCAGTTCGTAGGAAACACCTATAGCAATAAATGGAACCTATAAAATGGAAAATTAAAAGATCAGAACAGTGAATGGGTAGGAACGAATACATGGAGAAAATCACCTAATTGATTTTAGATGAGTATCCATGTACTGGTTGGAACTGACAATTATCCTATGAGTATCCAAAATCAAATTAAAATACCAACCATACCTGAAAACAATACCAATATAACAAATAAAAAATTAAACTTTTAGATGAATATGAAAGGTAATCACAAGTTACAGTCCCTAGGCAACACAAACCTGGATTCATTCTAATTCAAGAAACCAAAAACGATTTGTGATTGACCGTGTAAAATGATATAACACAACATCAGCTATAAAAATGAGAGATTCAAGGGAGAAAAAAGTACCAAGAGAAAGCTCGTTCATAAAGAGCTCAAATCTCATCATCATGAGAATCGCCAATCGTGTTTGATTATATCATTTTTGTTGGTCCTTTTTGTTGCATATATGCTCTTCCTCCTGAAAGGAAAAAAGGGATCAACGAATCATAATCATCGGGCGTAAAAGACATACACACATAAAAGAACTGGAAACAAATATATAAACCGTTGAAAAATGCAACACTCATCATTATGTTCTGCAGAAGGCATGTCTTGTTTATGGTCGCTTTATTTTGACAGAACTGATGACGATGTAATCTTCCCTTCCGGATGCACTCTTCCCTGAACACCAATACAAACAATTAGCATAGCACATGACTTTAGTTCCTAGCACACCTTGTTGATTAAGAAGGTGACTACTCTTACATGTTAGTTGTCGTTTATGAAATGACCACATCAATGTACCCAGCCACTGCATAAGAACTCGGACAATAAGGCCATTTCTAAGAGATCATGCATATCGTGCAGGTAAACATAATAGCAACGTAAGAACTCAATAATCCGAAAGCTATTTGAGTTACAAACTGCGAGGTCTGGAAGATATAAAATGGAGCCAAACACATCCAAACCACCATTGATGGCAACCACTTGATTAATAAGTTGAACTCGGCAAGTGAAAGCTTCCTAATGTGCTATTTGGAAGGTAAGTACCCAAAACTGGCATAAGCTCATTAACCTGCGAATAAATCACAAGAAATTAAAAAAAAAAAAAAACAGAAGCAAAGAGAGAAGGTCACCACTATGTCGATTTCGTTATTCCTTCACAATCGTAATAGAGTTCTTCACCTTTTCGATTTTGTGCGTCTTCTTATTCCTCCTTCCACTGCCGTTCTCTTTGCCTTCTATGTCTTTGTAAACTGCGACCAGGGGATTTGACCAGGGAAAATTAATTCTCTGTTGTTGCTTCTTCTTCTTCGTCTTCTTCTTCCTCTTAGCCTTTTTTGTATTCATGAAAGTCCTCATATGTTGACCAAACTAAGACTTATCACAAACACCCAATCAAACTGAAAGGAAGTCGCCAAACTTGAACTACCTGGCTTTGCCTTCTTTCTACTCCGCTAACTTAATCATCCTTATTCTCCCCTCTGCAAACCCAATGCTCCTTTTCCACTTTCTCCTGCCATCATCGAGTTCCCGTCGTCGTTCCTTCAATCTGAAAGAATGGGCAAAAATGATGAACCAAATCCATGTAGTATAGTAAGGGAAAATCGTAACGTAGACCCAAAAATCAACACACTAAATAAGAAGTCAGAAAGCGAATATTAACGAAAGAGAGTCAGAAACCCACCGCCGCCGCTAACCCATCCATCGCCTTTTCTCCTTATGCGAATACAAAGCTCGTTTTCTTCTTGTATGGTTCACTCTCAGTAATCATAATTTAGTTTCGTCGTCATCTCTTCGATCAGAAAAGAATTGGAGACGATGATGAACCAAATCTATCAAGTACGGTGGGCTAAACCCAAATTTAGAACTAAAAATCCGGAACAGAAAGGAGACTGAAATGGGATATCAATGAAAGAGAGCGAGAAACCTACCAGTTGCAGCTGGGATCTAAACCAGAGCTCAATTATTTATGCCTTCTTTTGAACTCGGCTCCCCTGGTTTCCCCTGTTTTCCTTGGCTTCGAGGGGCTTGTAGTCGCCAAATTTGCCGAAGACGTGGTCTCCTTCTAAGCTGCGATAAGAACACAGGAGGTACATGAAGGGTTGGCCTATCAATTTAGCTAGGTACACATGGAAACTCAATCAGATAAAACTAAAGATAAGCGAAGTAAATGATGGAAACAGTAATAGGTAATATGCAGATCAGACTACCAAATCCAATTGCGAATAGAGGAATTGCGGGCTTCCCCCAAACGCATATATATCAGACTAACAAATCTGACACTGCGAAGCAACGGGGGCAAACAAACAGAAAAAATTACTAACTCCCCTTCAAATCGTCGGTTGGCTGGCAAGGAGACCACGTCTGATATATATGTAGACCCAAAAATCAACACACTAAATAAGAAGTCAGAAAGAGAATATTAACGAAAGAGAGTCAGAAACCCACCGCCGCCGCTAACCCATCCATCGCCTTTTCTCCTTATGCGAATACAAAGCTCGTTTTCTTCTTGTATGGTTCACTCTCAGTAATCATAATTTAGTTTCGTCGTCGTCTCTTCGATCAGAAAAGAATTGGAGAAGATGATGAACCAAATCTATCAAGTACGGTGGGCTAAACCCAAATTTAGAACTAAAAATCCGGAACAGAAAGGAGACTGAAATGGGATATCAATGAAAGAGAGCGAGAAACCTACCAGTTGCAGCTGGGATCTAAACCAGAGCTCAATTATTTATGCCTTCTTTGGAACTTGGCTCCCCTGGTTTCCCCTGTTTTCCTTGGCTTCGAGGGGCTTGTAGTCACCGAATTCGCCGAAGACGTGGTCTCTTTCTAAGCTGCGATAAGGACACAGGAGGTACATGAAGGGTTGGCCTATCAATTTAGGTGGGTACACATGGAAACTCAATCAGATAAAACTAAAGATAAGCGAAGTAAATGATGGAAACAGTAATAGGTAATATGCAGATCAGACTACCAAATCCAATTGCGAATAGAGGAATTGCGGGCTTCCCCCAAACGCATATATATCAGACTAACAATCTGACACTGCGAAGCAACGGGGGCAAACAAACAGAAAAATTACTGACTCCCCTTCAAATCGTCGGTTGGCTGGCAAGGGTTCAATGCAGAACTACCTAATCCGGATTGAGAGAAGCAGCGAGAGCAAACTAACCGAAACAATCTCGCCTCCCCTTCAAATCGGCGGTTGGCTGGAGAATCGTTCACCGCATAACTACCAAATCCGATTGTTCGAATCAGCGGGGGTAAACAAATACCACAAATCATGACTCACCTTCGATTCGTTGGTTGGCTGGGGAATTCACCGTCAATTAGCCGCAGGTCTTCCTCGCTCAATCAGGTGTTCGCCGCTCATTCCAAACTGCAGAATCTCGGCACGGTGAACTCCACATCAGCGGGCCGTCAATGCCTTCCTCTGCTGAGCAGCAAGCGTCAGTCCCTGTTCCCAAAATTATCCGCTGATAAATGGATCTCCTGCCGTGCTGCGGGAAGGAGAAAGCAAAACGTAGATAACTCAGGAGAAAATGGAAGATGATTTCAGCCGCAAAAAAAGTAGTGGGAACCGACGGTTTCTTATCTCTCCTGTCAGGCGGGGATTTCTAATTTAATCCCGCGTAACCACCCTGCCACGTCAGACTCCTAAAATCACTCTATGCGCAGGAAAATTTGAATGGGGGTTGCAGTTTTACTTTTCAGCTATAAATTATACTGTTGATATATAACTACCCAAGCTTGCTAAAACATTTTCAAGAATCGGATAAAAAACAAAGAAAAATTAAAATCATAATCAGAACATGTTTGGCTTATTTGGTTCTATTTAATCCGATCAAAATTTTGATCAATTTTCCAGAAACAAATCAGGTCAGTAACCTTATGGTGAGTAACCATGAGTAATTCGTCCAGATCAGCATCCCTCTCTCATAGAAAGCCTTTAATTTTCCCCTCCTTAATCTTTGGCGGACGATTTCTCACTCGTTCTAAGTCGAAATTTAATTTTTTTTTTCACAGTTAGATCAAATTAATTGTGCTCTTCAAAATTATATTCACTTTGATATATTTTTTGAACAAAAAAAAAATTGAGCCATTTTTTACCAGTCTATACCATATGGTATTGACTAGTATTGAAATAAGAGCATACCTATGGTTTGAAAAGCGTACCATGGTGGTATGAACAAACCAAGACTGTAGGATGGTTGAATACATGATAGTAGAAGTATATTAACTGTCATTTACGACTTTTAACATTGTGTACCACAAGATACCACCCCGTACCAGGGTGGTATTGTATGGTATTGTGTGGTATTTTTTGGTCCTGTAATTTGTTCACCCAGAAATTTGTAGTCCAATAGATCATGATGAACTTGTTCCTTCTGTGCAAACGTTTTCAAAAACGAATTAAAAATGAAGAAAATACATGATGATGTGCAGTTGGTACCGAGAGGCAAGAAATTTTTTTTCTCAAAAAATATTAAAATTGGATCTCATTTTGTAGAGCACAACGAACTCGTTCCATCTGTGCAAAAAAAATTAAAATCCGAGTTAAAATAAAGAAGATATGAGCCGATTAAGAAAACTAGGGAAAATAAAAATGACCTTTAATTATCCATCATTAGATCTGGATTTTCTAAATAAAGGGTCCAGATTTAGTTATTGATGGGTTCATAACCCATGGTTATGCACGCTATCATGAGCCCATTTTTCCATCATGCTTAAAATATTCACATGACAAAAAACCAAATTGAAATGTATTCGATCTAGGTTAATGTCCCATTTGGTCACTAGGATTACTAAATTGTGTTATGTTTAGTCACTAGAAAAAATAATATTAGATTTGGTCACTCGATTTACTAAAACAGGTCATATTTAGTCACTCTCTGTTAGTCTCCGTCCAACTCCGTTAATGGAGTCCGTTATGTGCTGACGTGACAAACGGGAGCGCCTAATCAGCGTCGTTTTGGGCCAGAAGTGATCAAACCCGACCCGCCATGTCACTAAACCAGCCATGTCATCGACCCATAACCAAACCCGACCCTATTCTCATCTCTACCACGCTGCCCACTTCTCCCTTTTCCATTTCACATCGCCGGCAAACCCTTTCCTTCTGTTTCAAACTCGACACATGATTGATTGGTTTGAAAAAATAAATTAAATAGAGATGGATGTTTGAGAGGAAGGGTTTTGGGGCTGGAGAGTGAAGATGAAACAGCTGAGAGAGATGCGAAAACAGAGGGAGAGAAAAGCTTTGAAGGGTGGGTTGGGAATTTTGGGCTCGATTAGGAAGACAAATCATCTCCACTCACCGTTGGTAAAGTGAGATTTTTTTTTATGAAGCGTTGGTAAAGTGAGATTTGATCTAGGTTTTCCGCGGGGTGAGATATGGATTCCCGATTGGTTGGATTCTCCGGTTCAATGAATGGGGTCACTTTCCAGGAGCAAACCCTCTTCTCTGATCTAACTCACTACGCCAACATTGTCACAAACAGTTTTACATTCAACGAAAACTCAATCTCCTCCTCCATGGAATTGGGTCGGAAGTTCATGGACGACCCACTGGTATTGACTGATTGGGATGCAGCAATTTCACTCAACCTTCACCTTTGACAAGCACAGAAGGACACATAAAACTCATATATGAAATCAACCACTGTTTCAAAGGACACAAGGAAGCACAACTTTCAATCCCAGAATCCCCAATCGACAAAGGAGGGCGTGAGCGGCAGAGACGAGGGAGAGGAGTCGATGGGATGGGATTGGCCGATTGGGTCGCTGTGGGTCTCGATCTGCTGCTACTGTCGATGCGTTGTGATGCTGCTACTGTCCCGCTGTTGATGTGATGCTGCCTGTGATTGAGGAAGTGAGCGCAGGAGATGATGAACATGGGGAGGGACGGACGAAGACGAAGAGGAAGCAGGGGCGGACCCAATGGAGTTTGGACACCCATAAATTTAAATTTTGGGGAAATGAGTATCCAACTCTCGATGTTAATTTATGTATGGACAAAAAATTATAATCGATAGTGGGGGACACTTCGAAAATTTGAAAAAATGATTATCCTACTCTCATTTTTTTAGTTTGCGTATGTGAATATAAGTAGTAGTTTAGGCAATTCAAACCTAGGACATTATTATTATTAATGAATATAATTTTCATTAGTCGGCCAAAACGGCGCTGACTAGGCACTCCCATTAGCCACGTCAGCACATAATGGACTCCATTAACGGAGTTGGACGCAGACTAGCACAAAGTGACTAAATATAACCTGTTTTAGTAATTCGAGTGACCAAATCTGATATTTTTTTCTAGTGACTAAACATGATACGATTTAGTAATCCCGGTGACCAAATGTGGCATTATTCCATCCAAATTTTGAGCCAGTCCAATGTGAACAGAATTGTTGTCACCTCTAGCTGCAGTAGCATTTGTGATGCAGATCAGTGCAACTTCTCCCATCCTGTCATTGCAACGTACAGACCAAACTGCATACAAACCCAATCGGCCAGGGTCTTTCTAGTAACCTCTATCTCAGCACTACAAAAAAAAAAAAATGATAACTTGCATCCACAATCTGCCCCCAACTAGGGATGGCAATGGGGCGGGTTTGCCTAAACCATCCCCATCCCCATCTTCAAATACCCAAACCCATACCCGCCCCATACCCATGCGGGGAATGTTTTGCAAACCCATCCCCATACCCGTGGGTTTCGGGTACCCATGGGTAATACCCATCCCCGTACATCCAACATTATTATACCTAAAACTTACAAGAAAAGTTTTAATTATAACCATAAACAAACCTATTATATCACGAAGTCAACAAAACACGGTCATTTTCTAAATACGATTCAAAGAATATGATCCTAAAACATCCATTAATACATAATATAGACTATAATATTTTTTAAATTATTATGCTCTAACTCTTGATACATTATTACTAAGTAATAATTAACTAACATAATTTTGTTGACAAGGGGGAAAGTGAAAGAGTGGAAGGAGAATTGAGGGAAATGAATTAGGTTTTGATTAAGGTGGTTACTCAATTGCATTTCTACTATTTATTTTCTCGAGTTATCATCATCATCATTGATAGATTACAATTTAATCCACGTATTTTTTGATATGTGAGGAAATTCTTTTGGTGGGGCGGGTATGGGTATGGGTATGGGGCGGGGGAGGCTAAAACCATACCCGCCCCATACCCATCAAACCTTTTGCGGGTTTTACCCATACCCGCCCCATACCCGGTCAAAGCGGGGATTCCCCGCGTTGACTGGGTATGGGACGGTCGGGTACCCGCGGCTATGGGTTTGATTGCCATCCCTACCCCCAACCTAGCATGGTTTCTCTCTTGTAGTGATCCTGTTCATTTTGACCAGCCGAAGTGAGCAGAGTATTTAGCCCAGACGAACATTCCTACTTCGATCCACCAGGAAGCAACAGTACTTTACGTCGAAATGGCAAAGAAGCATGGTACCAGTTGAGCTCGCCCTGGGATTCGTTCAAAATCGTCCTTTCGTGACAAGTTCTATCGTGGTTGAGACCTCAGTTGCCCAACTCAAAGAAAACACGACGCCTTCATCACAATTCACAACATAGAGGACCTTGTCACCTCAGGTTGGAAAGGCCATTAAAATGTAACTAAGAAAAAAGTTGAAACTGAAAGAGAAAACACAAAAGATAGTGCTGATATCAAAACATTTCTACCGAGTTGAACGACGGAGCATAAGACAATATATATGAACTCGATAGCAGCATGAACTCTCAAGACAAACACAAAAACCAAAAACTTGGTCAAGATATATTATCTCTTCATTCATAAAAAACTTCAGTAGGCTGAGAACTAAGCTCTAACAAACAAAACCAAGCACAGCAATCCCTTTGAGTGATAAGCCTGCCTCACAACATCCTTCACTCATCAAGGAGCGACAATAATCCGCCCAGCAACTTGGTCGAGATCTCTCTGACCACTTGAAGTGATCTTCCTTCCGCTGGAAACCAAAAAAAAATAAGAATGATACGTCATCAACCAACACAACAAAGAACCATCATTTATTTACTAATTGTATTAGCTAGAATGAAGCATTAGACAATGCAAGAAAGATAGTACTAGTATTCAGGGTAACAACAAAAAAAAGAAGGATGGTGAAGCAAAGCATGGGAAACTCACCCAGTGGGCTCTACGGAAACAAGGTTCAACTTCTCCAGTTGTTGAAGAATGTGACGGGCAACAGCTCCACTGCTCTTGCAGAAATGGGGAGGGCGGCTTCCATTCCTCTTGCTTCCGCCATAAATTCTTCGGAAAGCACCCACACCAAGGCCTCCCCTCAGGTACACCTTTCTCGCCATTGAGGCTGCAATCATAATCATTATGAAGTTACAACATGATAACAATAGGATGATCATAGACTGAAACTAGAACTACATATGTTCAGGTCGTTTGAATAGAGGATGATGGTACTTACCAGCTCTGATGTAATACCAGTCGGGATCATATGGGGCCAGCTCTTTCAATTTACCAGTCTTAACAATATCAGTCCATGGGGGCAGCTCTATCTGTTATCCAGAAAATATAAAGCAACAACGGAAATCAGATATCTAAGACAGAATCATTATTAAAATATTCAACTAGATCATTGGCCTGAACAGCAACTCCACCATCAAATCATTAGAAAATACTACTTATAGCTACAACAGCATCTATAAGTGTACTGGAAATAAGGGAAATGGGAAAAACTGAGACCTAAGGCATTCAACTGCAAGACCATCACCGTTGATGAAACTAAGAACCAGGAGAGATTAAGCAAGTCAGCAGAGAACCCAAAACAGGAAAACCCATGACACCAACCAAAGCTTAAGCCATTAACACTATGACGAATTGAAGACACAATGATGTCTTCTCTTTCATGTATGCAAACAACCGCAATATATAGAACATACTACATGAAAACAGAGTTCGAAGGAACTATAGATGCTCTACTCACCAACTACAAGATCGAGTTCAAAGTACTCCCTAGACATAGACACATGGATCGAAAGAGTAGGATCATACCTCTAAACTATCAGAAGAGACCAAACTAATTCGTATCACATTTATACAAACTATCAGAACGCCGGGGCAAAGATCAATTCCCACAGAGAACATGGTGTAAACCTAAACGCCTAAACTACGATGATAAACTAGCTAAAATTTCATCTGTGGAATCTGGAGCTTTGGGGCAACAAGTTTTTTGCCGTGATATAAGTCAATTCGCAGCGAATTGCTTGGGGATTAATACCTTGCCAGATCGCTTGAGGTGAGCGGCATAGGCCTTCACGAACTCGTGAGGTGATACATCCTTGACAGTACCAGCCTTGACAATGTCGCCGGGAGCCGCCATTCTTTCTGCGAGTCGCTGCGCTCCGCCTCTCTTGAGCTCGAGATACCGTTCTCTGAACAAGTATGTTGCAGAAATGGCTAGGGTTTGGGGTGGCGGATGCCATGTTTTATTTATATGTTGACGGATTAGGGTTTGGGTTAGGCCCTTGGGCTCTTTGACCCGGACCTGGTACATGGTTATTGGGCCCTATTGCTCCATTAAGAAGTATTTAGGCCTCGGGGGTTAAATGGGCCAAAGACAAGATCCTTTACTTCTGCTCGATCTTCATCCAACACCAAGTACCAGCAATTAAAATGGTCACTTCACTTTCGAGTTTCGTTTTTGTATGAAATGGTCACCCAGCTTCTATTTTGTATGAAATGATCCCTTAACTTGGAACTTCTAACAGAATGGTCCATCCATCTCAATCCAAAACCTCAACAAAGTGGAAATGTGTTGTTGATATCACACACTTACTGGTCACCCCAAATGTCTCCACACTTACTTGTTGTGTGTTTTTGTTTTATGTTGTGTTCTTCAAAATTGTGAAAACCAATAAAAAAACATGTTAAGTTGGGTTTTCAAATTTTGTTGTACAACAGATTAGAGCAATCAGGCCCAAAATAACAAAATGCCAAATTGTAGCTTTGGATGCGTTGCACGCGGGTTTCCCCTTTCATTAATTGATAATAATTATTTTTTTTATTTGTTTATTCCATAAACAGTTCTTCTTCCTTCTCTAATAGCTTATCTTCTTCTTCTTCCTTTATGCGCCGATCCCAACCGGCGACCCAATCTCACCTGCAAATGACGACCTCAACGCTCACAGCGCCGACAATGTCGTCACTCCAATATCCTAGACTCCCCTACTTTCGTCGACACCGACGACCCCAACACCCACAATGTCGACGATCCCTGATCCCCTTTCCCCATCTCGAAGATCCCAAATCTCAACTCACAGCGTCGACAACCTCACTCCTTTACCCCTTCATGCGATTCAAGCCACTGTTACTGTTGTCCCGATTATGTCCTTTTATAGGTTCTTGCATCTTGATTGCGGCAGAGGGGCATCGGAGGCGATTTGAACAGAGGAAGAGAGGAGAGACGGGAAGCAATGGTGAGACGACTGCTCATTGCAGAACTTACCGCAATTTTTCCCGATCGATTAGAAGGATTGAAAGAATGGAGAAAAGCAGCGAAAGAAAAAGTGTGAGTGCTGATTTGAGTTGCTGATTTTTCTGTGCGAGTGGCTAATTTTTCATGTTTAGTATGATTGTTGACTTGTGTTGTGCTGGTGTTGTTGTTGCTCTTGTGTTTACTAAACCTTTTTACAACACAACAGAATAGAAATTGTACTAAACAGGGCCGTAGGTTGTTAGTTTGAAGGTAAGTTAGTTTTTTTTAGTGTATTTTTTTTATCCAAACTTTTTTTAGATTTTTTCATATTATTCAACCTATTAAAATATTATTAATTAGCCAAATCTTTCATAATGCATCAAAATATTAGACATTTTTACCTTATCGTTAATAATTTTGTAACTCAGTTCTTAGTTAAAATACTAAAATTTTGGGATGTTGACCTTCATGTGTCTCTTTCAAGTCAGTTTCATGTTGTCAAGTCAATATTACTAACAAAATTGCTAACTGAAAGTTAGCATTTGGCTAATTCTTAATATTTCAATAGGTTTGGCTAATAAAAAAGCATCCAAAAAAGGTTTTGATATTGGCCAACATGAAGAAACGGGGCTGGATATTGGCCAATCGCTGTGAACTCTGCAAGCAAAAGGAAGAGACAATCGATCATTTATTCATCGAGTGTGGATTTGCACAAGCTGTTTGGAATCTTCTCAACAGAAGATGTCGTTATATTCATCAACCTAGAGAAGGAATCATCGATACTATTCGGAACTGGCCTGCAGTTCATCCTGATGACATCTCTGGTTGGTTCGTCTACTGCAGCTTGCATGCTACTTGTTGGTGTCTATGGTTGGAGCGGAATCGTAGAATCTTTCAAAACTCAGCTGCCACCAGTTTGGCCATTGCTCGCAAGATCTCTCGCATGGTGATTGAATGGATCGTTGTTCATGGAAATGCTGAAAAGCAGGACTGCTTATCTTGGATGGATAGGAATTTTGTATAGTGACTTTTTCCTCTGCTGCTTTCTCGTTTGACTGGGGCCGGTCAGCTGCTTCTTGCTGGTCGGTTGCTGGGAGATCCCTCTCTTGTTTTCTTTGGGCTCTCCTGTCTCCCAGAGCTTTTTCCCACTCCTTTAATTTTTCTGTTATTTTGTTGCGTCGGCTGTTCTCTGTTCCCTCAGGTTTAGTTCTGCTGAACCTTGGACCCTTTTGTAAGTCTCCTTTCATTTAATATTATTATCATACTCATCAAAATAAATAGTCATTACCCTTTCTTTTTATACTAAAGAGTCGTATCGTTTTTTACAACTACACAACACACTAACCATCAATTTTTATAGGCACTAGATATAATTCATATTTTAACAATTAGTTGTATAAAATTTGCAATAAGTGTCAATTTTCTTTACTACTAGAATAATGAAAGATTTTATACCTTCATCATAAAAGTAAAAGCATATGTATAAAGTCAATGATTTTTTTCTATCAACCAATACTTATTTTAAAGTAGGCAAAGAAAAGTTGGTATGACAATAGAATACTTTGCACATACAAGTAATAGTCGGATCCACAAAAGACAAAGTGAGAGAATGGTAGCAATTTATAAGGATTATCATAAATATTAGTTAATATCCCTAATGGTTCATGAGGAATTTTACAATACTATATAGTAGTGGTGCTATAGGTTTTGTCTTTATGGTACAACTTGAAATTGTACATTTAACGTTGTGGTACAACTTTGGATTATACCTATACTGTTTGTACAAATTCTTTTATGGTACAACTTGAACTTGTACCTTTATGTGATGGTACAATTTCAAGTTGTAAAGTTGTACCATAACATAATGGTACAAATTCTTTTATGGTACAATCTAAACTTATACATTTCATGTTATGGTACAACTTTAAGTTGTACATTAAAACACCAATACTATATAGCATAGTAGAAATGCTCATGATTCATTGAAAAATTATTTTTGCATATTAGCCAGTAATCCAACTGCATCCACCGGCTACTCACTCAACCCGAAGATGAATGTGAGTGGACAACATATGGCAATTATACCAACTCGTTTTGACGAGGATATATAATTCTAAATTAATTATTGATGACAAGACATCTTTTTGGTGACATGTTGCTGCCACATTATAAGTAGTTTAATGGACTTTGACCACTGTTTGGTCAGTTGTTAAGTCTAACGGTTAACAAAATGTTTAACGTTATTATTTACATGATTACATCACACCCCAATGGTATAAAATACTTTTACTCCGTTGAAAAATTGAAGACACAATTAAAATAATAACAAAAACATAAACTAGGAACCCGTTATTAATATCATGACTTTATTATCGTGAAGATAATTGAACCAACTAAACTTCAACCAACACAAGTTTAATGGCGAGTCATGTTATGTCAATGCAGTTGAAACAACAGCCCACTAGCTCCTAATTCATTTATTTTCATAAAATTGCCTTATTTGCTGAGCAACCCAGCTAGCGGATGTCCATGGAGATATGAGAGGAAGGAAAAACAAACTTTCTTAGGTTGAAATTCCATTAGATTTGCGGTCCCGATAATCTAGTCCTCCTTCTCCGCTATCACTTTCCCAGAAAATCCCGACTTCTTTTCCTGGAAAATTCTCACTTTCTGATTTGATCATTTGAACAATCAAAAGTTCTAGCCCTCTTCTTCCCCCTAACAGACATTGGGAGAAGATCAGGAAAATTTTCCAATCAACCAACACAAACATGGGGCAGAAACAGTCCAATGACGAATTGATGTACCAGCAAGTGAGTTACTGCAACGGCGAAGGCATCAAAACCCTTTGCAGGGAAGGCGCTGGGCTCGAGGTATTCACGGGATTTCCCATTGATTCTGCGTTCTCATCATATGCTTTTCGATTTTCCGTCGGGATTGTTTTTATTTCAATCCGTTGTGGTGGGTTTCATTGCTTTGGGGTTTCAGTGAATCGACAGGGAAGGGAAAACGTCGTTGATACTGGCGTGCATGAACCTTGAGCATTACAATGTGGCCAAAACCCTGATCGAGCTCGATGCTAATATCAATGCCTATCGCCCTGGTAAGTGGTGTTGTCATTCCTGCTATTGCCCATTTCAGTTTTCAGCTTGTAAGTTGTTAGATAGTAGATGATGTTGATCTAGATTAAAACCCAAGATGAAGTTGGATGTTTGTGACCACAAATGCTAACGATTGAGTCTTCTCATAACTGGACTAATTGAGCTCTGATGCTGTTCGAATCGGTTGGCTAGTTCAGATGGATTGGTAGGTGCTACTTTGGGTGTGCAGGTCGTAGTGGAGGAACTCCATTGCATCATGCACCTAAAAGAGGACTTGAGCAGACTACTTCTTTCACATGGAGGTAAAAAAGGGTTCAGATGAGCCTTCTATGGTCATTTTTGGGGTTGTGGTTATCAAGGGGATAATTCTAAACTGCTTGTGTTTGAACTATTCATCTAATGCATTGGTTATGAATGATGACTTTCTAATGCCTCTTGAATATGCTAGGGCAAAAGGCTACACCAATGTAGTTCGTACGATTGAGGTATTCTTTTTGAAGATTTTGGATGTGTATACCTGTTTCTCTAGTACTCCCCCCTCCTCTTTGTTAGATTAGTTTTGTGGTTGTACCGATCCATTCTTTATTTTCCAGGATCATATATGCTTATTCTTTGGTTGGCTCCGTGAATTTTTTGGCCTTTGATTTCTGGAGGTTGTGGCTCCTCAGTTCGTATCTAGAAAAGTGTGAGTATGAAAGTTGATATGGCATCAAGTGGAAGTGCTTTCACTCACTTATCACATTGCTCTGCCGAATCTTGTGAGGCATCACATGAATAATTTGAAACCAGTTAAAATGTTTCATTAGATTACTTTCTCGTCCGAGGTATTCTGGTAGCTATAGATACTTAGAACTAGATATTTATGTTGGTTATCATTGTATATTT